TTAAAAGTTTAATAGATTTCTTTTGAAATATTTGAAGTTTCTATTTTTTGAAGAATTTTCGAATAATTATAATATAAAATATTAATGTTTTATAATAATATTCTTTTACGTTATTGAATTTTAAAATGTTTTAATGTGCAATGTTTGAAAGTTTTAATTCCTATAAAAAAAAAATAATAATAGATGTTTTTGATTAATTTCACAATTACCGAAATTTCTAAATATATGTAATAGATTTAATGTGGTAAATAATAAGTGTAGTTTTAAAAAAAAAAACTGTCAAAAAAATTACAAATCAGCGAAAGCGCAGCAACCCTGTAAAAGTTATGTATGTTTTATCGTTTTTACCTCATACTTTCAACACAATAGAAATATTTAGAAACTAAATCACAAAAGTTAACAATTTTAAATGAAATAAATAAAAAGAATTTAGAGAAATAAAGTTAATTATTGAATAAATTCTACGAATCAAATAAGCAAAATTTAATAAATTGTTAAAATGTAAAAAAAGAATTAAGGAGAAAAACTCTTATATTTGAATTTGCAAAAGTGGTTGACAGAATGAAATAAATTAACTCCATAAATTGAGAATGTAACATTTATAAAAAAAAAAAAATTTTATTTATTTAAAAACACACACATTCACACTACAATTTTATGTAAATCACGTTCCACATGCACACAATTTAACTTTAAATGGATCCACCATGGGAGGATTTTCTTCTAAAATAATTTCCACATCTTTCGGTTTCACGTACCAGGAAGTGTTCAACTCTCTCTGGAATGAAGTACATGGTGTAGGATCCATCCTGAGAGGATTTTCCTCCAAAATGACCTCTGCATCGGTTGGTTTCACGTACCAGGAAGGATTCAACTCTCCCTGGAATGAGATATCAGGAAGGACCTGCTTCATCCTGGAAGGAAATGTTAAATTTGGGCTGAATCAATGGCGATTTTTCCAGCAAGGACCTAATGTCCTTTAGATACACCTTTGGCTTGGAATTTCGGATCGCAAACTGTCGACTTCACGGACAAATCCAACGGTTGATCATTGACCGAAGTTTCTGAAGAACCAGGTTGTGCTAAATAGACCTTAAACCCATGGAATTCTCCTCTCCATGGACGGCCAGGACGCTCCATGGCCTCATAACAGTCGATCTCCTGCATCGAATAATGTATTGATGCTGCCAACGAATGCCAAAGTTTAGAGTGATTGGAGGAATTTCATTAATTCCATTCTACAATTTCCTTCACCAGACACAAAAAACCGAAATAGAGGAAATTATTAAAATTAACAACTTATAAACACATGTCAAAGAAAAATAAGTAACACTGCTAAGAAGTCACACTGCTTACTTTTTAATTGCGCGTATGTACGTTCTATCTCAAGAAGCCAAATACTGAAGACGTCCCAAGTACTATCATCCTTTATAGGGATGCAAAATGCTGAGGTTGACAATTTTAATCACCACTACGAGAAACAAAGAGTCAACGACCACCCTGAGAAAAACGAAATCCATACCTACCTTAAGAAGATGATAAAGAATCACAAACAACACATATCATTACACAACAAACACGTAAAATTATCACTTCACATTCTTATCTAGGCGCCGCCGAATGTAATAAGAGCGGAAGGATATTGATGTCACTGCAAACACTGTATGAAAATTATAATTTAGGTGATAAAAGACAGTCTCAATTTCAGAATTTTATAGTCGCGACATGGGTATTTAAACGATAAGAATAGAATTTCATCGAGACGATGAAAAAAGTAAGGAGGGAGGACTGTTACATCCCAGGTACATTTTTAAGAAACTGTTTATGTAACTGCGATGTAACTATTTTTATAACATATAATAAACACGATAAAAGCATTTAATATTCCGAAATTGAGATAGAAGTTATAACTGAAATTCTATACTTCGTCCTACATATTAGAATAATGATTAAAAAACAAAACCAGAGATAGAAATTGACAAAAATAAGAAACAATGCGTTGAGTCAAGGAGTGACTCACGCAAGCTCGCACTCAGCCGCTATGACCTCATTACGCAACCCGAGTTCTGTGAATCACTTCTTGTAACTCTAGCTTCACTTTTTCCATAATTGAGGTAGATATTTAGATCATTTGTCGAAATCGCATTCTTTCTTCTTTTCTCAATTATAAATAGAATTATAATGAATAAGTATTATTCTAAAGAATTGACACCTTTTACCCCCATAATTGTCTACAAACTCTCCCACTTTTTAATAATTTTATAGTATATAAGGCAAAGCTTTTTAACACAAATTGTCAAAAGTTCCAGTGCGGTTTTATAGACCTGTAACCATTGTAGAGCGACCCTTCAGTTATACTAAAAATTATTGTATTCTTTCTTTAATCGGCAATTCAGTGTGCGTTGTACTCGGTTATCGTGCAAGTTACATTTGTTTTTCACTTAGAAACAAGTTTCTTTCCATTAAAGGTGCAAGAAAAGCAAGTTAACACTTAGAATCAATAATTTAAATGTATTTACTGTCGTATTTTGCATATGAAGTTTCATTAATTATAGTTAACTACCAATTCTTTCTTTAATCGGCAATTCAGTGTGCGTTGTACTCGATTATCGTGCAAGTTGCTTTTCTTACACTTAGAAACGAGTTTTCTTTCCATAATTAGGTGCAAGTAACGATTAGTAACACTTAGAAACGGTATTAATTCTTTGAAACAATTGCAAAAACACTAAAGTTGTGAAAGTTACATAAGTGTAACATAACAAACTTTCTCAGTTTCATTCAATTGAAACAACGTTCTGAAAACCAAACTAATATCGACCAGCGCTTCAATTTAAATCTACGAATAAACCTGTAATTAAAAGTAAGTAACAATTGTATAATTTTGTAAACATTATTTGAATATTTAATAAACATTGTTAAAAGGGAATATTTATTGTTGTTGTAACTCAAAACCCGTAGTTTTGACAAGTACAAACGATCCTACTTAAAAATAAAGGTCAAGCTTTACCAACTTGACCATAATCAGCCTACCATTCCTCCAAAATTATTTAACCTAACCTATCAAACTCGCCTTCTGCTCGGGATGTAACAAACAGTTTTCGAAGGCTATGTTACAATTTTTAATATTTATTACTTTTAAAATGTAAACAAATTGCAAAAATATAAATTAATAAACTTGTTTTATTAAAGGTACATTAACTTTAAAATATAAAAAATTTTATTTGGCATTTTATATTGGCTTAAAATAAATGACAAAATTTTAAAAAATTAGCCTTAAAATATTTCAAATGAATAACGCTTTTTCTATTTGTTTTAGTGTTACGTATTATATAATTTCTCATGAGAATAATGTGTGTCTATTTAGGAGCCATGGATATGCTTGTTTAAGTGGATGTGATTTTTCCACTGTAAGTGTGTTATAATGGAGATTACCGTATATATATAAGTTACATCCATCAAAATGAATACAACGTCAATGTAGTGATGAAACTAATTCACCTATAATTTAAATATCTTTCCTATTGTTAATAATTCCTTTAATTCGTTCAATATTTTGAACTGATAAAACTGTAATAGGATTATATTCAGTTTGTAAAGTTGTTATATCTATAAAAATCTTAAGTTCAATATCTCCTAGATATTTATTTATTTATATTATCTAATACTAGAAATTTAACTGAACAGATACCATGCAGCCCGTACTCCTTGGTTATGTGAGGATGACATCTAATAGTATTTCTGTACATTCACAATGTCCAAAATTACTTTCAAGTTGGCTTCTTTTTTCGCATCATATCATATTAATAGTTTTAAAATATCTGATTTTGTGCCACGTAATCGACATTTGCGGGAAGTGTTAATCTTCTTTTCTAATTCAAGAAAAACGGCCGCTGAAGCGCATCGAGAGCTCAAAAATGTTTATGAAGGTAATGCTATAAGTGAAACAACGTGTCGCGATTGGTACCGTCGCTTTAAAAATGATGATTTTGATGTTGAGGATCGTCCACGTGAAGGAAGGTCAAAAACCTTCGAAGATGTTGAATTGAAGGCATTACTAGACGAAGATTCGTGTCAAATACAAGAAGAGCTTGCTTTAGCATTAGGAGTTACCCGTCAAGCAATTTCTAAACGATTGCATGCGTTGGGAATGATTCAAAAACAGGGGACTTGGATTCCTTATGATTTGAATCCAAGGAACGTCGAACGTCGTTTATTTGCCTGCGAACAATTGCTCCAGCGGCAAAAAAAGGAAGGGTTTTCTTCACCGCATCGTTACAGGTGATGAAAAATGGATTCATTACAGCAACCCAAAGAAGAAAAAGTCCAAATATTCGTCAAAATATTCATGCTGTGAAGGTTATGCTGTGTATTTGGTGGGACCAGATAGGTGTCATATATTATGAGCTTTTAAAACCGAGCGAAACTATTGATGGGAAACGGTATCGACTTCAATTAATGCATTTGAGCCGAGCACTGCGCGAAAAACCGCGACAATAAGGCTATTCAAGTTCGGTGGGGGAAAATTCAAGATGGATGCTAACTGGTGCACCAACATTGTATAGAAAGTGTATGGGATAGAGTCTAATTTTTTAAATATCTCGCTTAAACGAAATTTTTAACCATAAGTTTATAAGGATTTTATGTTTCATTTTTAAAGAACTATTTTTTGCAATAATAAAATCAATAAAAAAATAAAATCGATTTTTATTATTGCAAAAAATAGTTCTTTAAAAATGAAACATAAAATCCTAATAAACTTATGGTTAAAAATTTCGTTTAAGCGAGATATTTAAAAAATTAGACTCTATCCCATACACTTTCTATACTATGTTTGTGCACCAGTTAGCATCCATCTTGAATTTTCCCCCACCCAACTTGATTAGCCTTATACAACGTGAGGCATGATAAAGTGATTCTCCAGCATGGTCTGGCTGCTCAACAGTTCCGCTCATACGAAGACATCGAAAATTGGCTTGATTCGTGGATAGCATCGAAGGAGGATGAGTTTTTCCGACGCGGTATTCAAACTCTACCAGAAAGATGGGAGAAAGTTGCAGCTGCCAATGGGTAATACTTTGATTAATTTCATTGTAACCATTTTTTAAAAATAAAGTTGCAATTTCTTAACAAAACAGCGAGAACTTAGTTGCACACCCTGATAAGATTTTATAAAAATGATGGACGGCAACGTTGGGTTAATCGAGCTAAACCTTACGCACAATACGCTCGATTGTATCAACAACAAACAAGATATCCACCGCAAGGATTTTATCTACAGCAAGCATGCTATCCATCACAACAATTCTTCCCTCAACAACAAATGTCATATCCAACACAAACACCTTATCAAACACCATACGCACCACAAACACCTTATCAACCACCTTACGCATCACAAGCACTTTATCAACCACTATACGCGCCACAAACATTTTACCAACCACCATACGCACCTCAAACAACGTACTCCCCGAATTATTAGTAAATATATTTTTTGAAAATAAAGATTAATAAATAAAATTTAATACTTAAAATATTTGTTGATTTATCGGTAATTGGTAGAATTAAAATAAACAATTAACAAAATATATTAAAATAATTTGATAAAAAAAATAACTAAAAAAGTTAAAGTATTGTATATCTAATATTGTAAACAATAATAAGTAGACGAACATTTTCAAAATTAGTTTCTCTACTTATTATTGTATACAATAGTAGATATACGAAACTTTAATTTTTTTAGTTACTTTTTTTATCAAATGATTTTAATTTATTAGTTAAAGTTCTGATTTTTTAAGTGCGGACAAAAGACACCACTAACATTTTGCATATATCTATAATTTTTCAATTAAAGAATTTAATAAAAAGAAGATAATACTTATTTATCTTGTTAATATAATTATTTTTTGTTTAGTCTTCTAAATTTTATTTTTACTGATTATTTAATTTGTAATAGAAAATATAAAAATTTAATAATTACTATTTATCATTGTTTGTAAATTTTGTCCAAAAATAATCCCTTCTTTGTTTACTTCCAATGATTCCAGACATTGTTTGTCTTCTAATGGATAATAGTTAACAAATAGGTTAAAAATTCTCCTTGTCGTCTGCTATCAGAAAGCGCCATTTTTGTGCATGCAAGATAAAAATAATATTTTCCGCCTTTTTTTGCTAGTTTTTATTAATTAATAATTAATTAATAATTCGAAAAGAAAAGAGGCATTTTTTTCTTCTTGGGTATATTGAAAAAACACAGTTAAGGATATATTTTAAAGAAAAAAACAGAAAAAATGTCGTTTTAAAAAAAAAAATTCAAAAATATTGTTGATTTTTAAAAAAAGAAGTTAAGTTTTTAATTTTAAAAAAAATTTGTATTATTCGATATATGTATAATCATAAAATACATATAGATCACTCTACTGAATTTTAGCAACAGTAGCTAACAAAATCTTTAACCCTCTCTCTCATAAATCTGAATAGAAATAAATAATACAAATGTAAAAGAAATATTTATGGTGACTTCAAATAGTACAGTAAATAAAATAGTTTTTTAAGAAAAAGTATAAAAGATATACTAAAAACTTCAACGTGATTGCACAAAAATAAAAAAAATTTTTTGATTCCTTTGACCTTTTTTTGATAATTTTTTTCAAAAATTGGTTCTACAAAATGAAAATTATGTCAATTTTTTAATTTGTTTAAAAAAAAATCAAAATTTCTATAACAATCGTGATTAAAAATATAAATTCTCCAATTTTTGCGATTAATCCAGATTAAAAAATATATATTTTTTCCCAAGAGGAACCTGAAATTTTGTTAAAAGTTTATAATTGATAAATCAAATTTATAAGCAATGTGTTTTTTTATTTTTTAGAAATCTTTGAATTTTGTTAAAAACTATTGTATCTGACAAATAGAATTGGTGCAAATTAGTTCCTTTTTAAAAAAATTATATAATTTTGTTCAATAAATAAGATTAAAAATAGGAATTGTGGAAAAATTTTTCTTCTTTTTTAAATCTGTTTATACGAATAAATAAATAAAACAAAATAATAATTTTATGAAGAAAATTGTGATTCATAAACAAAAAAAAAATGTAAAATAAATAAATTTTCTATTTCTTAATCACAGTTGTTTAACAATTTTCTAATTTTGTTTAGAAGTAAAAAAAATCTGCATAATTTCGATTTGACAAACATAATATTTAACAAAAATTTTAACCTTTAATGAAAATAAGTGAACAAAATTCTGATGATTTCTATTTGTTATTACAATTTTAAATTAATTATAAAATAAAAAAAATTATAACATAATAATATAGAGTAACTGTACCAACTGTCGAGGGTTATAGGCAACATTTGACTTTTACATGTTTTTTTCTCGGAAGTAAATTCACTTTAGAATTTGATTTTTGTATATTTGGACGAAGGATTTAATAATGTTTAATATTCATATTTATTTTTTAATGCAAACTAAATTTTTAAGCAAAAACTATATTTAAAAGTCAATTGAGCAAAAGCACCATTTGTCGATGGTCTTGTTATAATTTCTTGAGGGTCTGTTCCAAATTCCAATTATCAAGGGTATCACATTCTTAAACATAACCAAACAAATAACTAGTACCGATTATTATTTTTTCGATAAAAATATTATAAAATTTTAACAGGAAACAAATTTATTTCTTTACATATTGAATAATTGAGGCTCCGGATCTTAAAAGGGCACACGCGCGAACACACGGCAAATAATTTGGCCCCTGGAGATAAAATTTTGAAGTTGTTCAAAATGAATTTTAAATTATTGTTTCTTATACAGAATTTCAAGGCGAAACTTTTTTTCTAATAAAAATTTTTTATATAATTTCTCGTTTTCACGTAAATTGAAAAAAACGTGATTTTTTAAGTTAAGAAATTTTAATGAATTTTTGACTTCAACTCGTGACTACTTCGTTAAATATTAATATTTTTCCACAAAATTTACACACAATATTCTTCAAACTATTCCAAGAGTGAAACAATATTTGGAAATTTAAAAAAAAATTGTATGTCAAAGTAAATAATTATTTAAATAATTTTGTCGGAAAAATGATTCTCCTATTTTCAATTGAAAAAGTTGAGTGACGAATTTTCGTTTTCGGGAAACTTTCAGCGACAAAAATGTTCATTAATATGTTAGGAAGTTTTTTGGAAAATATCTCGCCATTTGATAATAAATTAAAGACAATAGAGCAATTTTAACATCGTCGCGCTCTGCTGTAAAATTGCGGCGTGGCGGCACACGTGTAGCATGGCCGCCATTACAAGACCAATGTATATATAGTTAGACATTGTTTACGTTTACAGCAGAGCGCGACGATGTTAAAATTGCTCTATTGTCTTTAATTTATTATCAAATAGCGAGATATTTTCCAAAAAACTTCCTAACATATTAATGAACATTTTTGTCGCTGAAAGTTTTCCGAAAACGAAAATTCGTCACTCAACTTTTTCAATTGAAAATAGGAGAATCATTTTTCCGACAAAATTATTTAAATAATTATTTACTTTGACATACAATTTGTTTTTAAATATCCAAATATTGTTTCACTCTTGGAATAGTTTGAAGAATATTGTGTGTAAATTTTGTGGAAAAATATTAATATTTAACGAAGTAGTCACGAGTTGAAGTCAAAAATTCATTAAAATCTCTTAACTCAAAAAATCACGTTTTTTCAATTTACGTGAAAACTCATTAAATTTGTAAACGTATGAAATAAACTTTTATTACACATAATGTTAATTAAATAAATAAAATAGTACCTACAAAAATTTTTACAGTTTTAAATAATGCATTTTATTTGTAATAATTTTTTTTGATCGACGTGTTGATTATAAAAAATTATCAATTACACTATTTTTCTTTAAAAATTCTTAAAGCTTAAAATAATTTAATTCAAAATTTTCAAAAACATTGAATTTTTGGAAGAATTACAATTACAATTTATGAAAATAATAAAATTTTAAAAGGTTTTTCATTGAAATTATTTGAAATTTTAATCCCTGTGGAAAAATAAATCAGAATAAGTTTTTAAATTTTTGTTTAACTAAAAGTATCCAAGTCCTGAATAATTTAATTTAGAAATTCCGAAAAAAATTGATTTTTGAAAAAATGTAATTCAAATTTTTTAATAAATAATTGTATTCCAAGAAAATAATTTTAAAAAATTGAAACTATCTTAATGTCTGATTATTGATCTGAAGTTAAAAATAAAATATTCAAATTTTCTATTGACAAAAGTAATTGAATAAATATTTCACAAACTCCACTAAAAGCTTTTAATCACTCACGTGCACATAAAATTGATATTCTTCGCTTTAAGTCTGAATAACTACTTTATGTTTTTAGAGACGTCAGGCTTATAACATAACTTCAAAAAGACACCAAAATTCCACCGAAAAATTTTGAATTCATAGAAATATATAATTTATTTTTTCGAATTTTTTTTAACGCCACTTCCCAGTTTGGTTCTAATAAATTTTTTTTCTCGAAAATTCGAAGCCGATTAATTGATATTAACACGTGCCAGTTAAATCGCTCGTAATTTCCCATTAAGAATACATGGAAAAAATGCACTTTTTAAATAAGATTCATAATTTTTTTTATTTTCAAGCAAAAAATTCTCCAGGTCACAAATATCTTTATTTTTTTATGTACTATAAGACAGCAGTTGAACAAAAATTTTATTTTCAAAATTTTCAAAATAGGGGATGTTTAAAATGTGTCATAAAAATACATCACAATGTATGCAATGTTTGGTCACATAAATATTCGCGGAAATTCAACGAATTTTCTTACTCAGATTTTTTTATCTGTTAGTAAGAATCTGATATCAGAAATTAATATTTTTTAATTTTTGTATCAAATGCTGGGTTGGCATACAACCTGGAAACCTGGAAATGTCAGGAAATTTTATAAACCTTGAAAAAACCTGGAAAAGTAAGGAAATTTTGATCAGAAGCCTGGAAAATTAATGTTTTGTAATTGTTAGTCTTGAAATCTAAATATTTCAAAATTAATTGAATTTCGCTGCGTTAGTGAAAAAAAGAACACCTCGAATTTTGAACCAAAATTCGAGGTGTCCTTTTTTTCTACTAACCCAGCGATTTTATGAGTTGCGATTACAATTTTTATAAATAGAACTTCAAAAGGTTTTAATTTAAAATTTTAGAAAATTTTAATTTTAAATAAATCAATTAAATAATAAAAATTTCACTGCAATTCTATTATTTACAAATATTTTATAAATTTCTTCGCAATAATTGAATCATTTCATAAAGAATAACATTTTTTACCAGGAATTAAATTATTTTAATAAATAATACAACTCATCGCAGAATTTCACTTATTTTTAACACAATTTTAATAAACTTTCTCGAAAAATGCAATTAATCATAATATTTTTATTAAAATTCATCAATAAATTCAATTATTTTAAAAAGCCTTCTTATAATTAGTTTATTAGAATTTAAATATTATTGTCAATACATTTTTAAATAAACTTTCTGAACAGAATTACATTATTTTTAATAATTTTAATGAAAAAATTTTAACAATTCAATTTTTTTCAAAACAATTTTAATAAAAATTTTTCGTAGAAATTTAATTAATTTTAATAATTTATCAAAATTCAATGATTTGCAATGCTTACTATTTAAATAAAATTTCACAAAAGAATTCAATTATTTAAAGAGAAATATTATTAAAATTCATCTCAAGATTATGGTTAAAATTTTAATTATCTATAGAAATAATAAAATTTACCTTCAAAATTCAATTATTTTCAAAAATCATAATAAAATTCTTGACAAAATTTTAATTATTTTCAAAAACTTTTCTTAATTCAATCAAATTTTTGACAAAGTTTAAATTATTTTTAATACAATTTTAATCTAATTTCTCGAAATATGAAATTATTGTTAAAAATTTTATTAAAATTCGTCAAAAGAATTTCATCTATTTAAAAATTTGTTTATAAAATTCTCTATGAGAGTTCAATTCTAAAAAACATTCAATTATTTAAAAAATTATTTATTTTTGTATTGAAATAATTGAATTCTCGTAGAATTTTATAATAAAAATTGATTAAAATATGAATTTCAGTTAAAATTTTAGATAATTGAATATTAAACTGTCTAAAGTTGAATTAGTAAAAATGGTTTCTAATTTAAATTAGCGATAGAATATTTTGCTTAATAATTTATTTTATTCATATTTAAAAAGTTAATATTTTCCATGTGTATTTTTCATAGGAAATTACGATCGATACTGTCATGTATTACTTCTAAATGTATCGCTCCTAAATTTTTTTAACGAATTTTGATTCCATATAGTTTTAATTTTATGTTGAGATTTTTTTCAATTTTTTAAAAGGCGCAAAACATTTAAAAAATTAATTATTTATAAAAAAAAAATTAATAAATAATTATTAAAAAATAAACTTTTTAAAAATTTTCTAAGTCTAAACAAAAGTATATTTTATTTCCTTTATTTCCCGCTTGGTTCATTTAGAAGAAATACAATTTTGTTTAAAAAGTTTCAGAAAACTTCATTTGACAATAACTTTATAATAAAAAATTTTTTTTCTGTTCTTTAGTAGAAATAGAAATATTTTTTCAACATTTCGATTTAAAAAAAATACTTTTTATTTTCAGATTCGTCATTAGAGGCTTTTAGTGGAGTTTGTGAAATATTTATTCAATTGTTTTTATTGACAGTAAATTTAAATATTTCAATTTTAACTTTAGATCAATAATCATCCATTCAGAAATTGTTAAATAAAAAAATGAAGAATTGAGCAAAAACTTGTGAAACTAAATAAATATTTTCATTGTATACTTACATTTTTAATATAAAGTAAGAATAAATTTTTTTATTTCGTAATGTTTGATGAAGCTACTATTTTTTATCTGATAAAAATGCAAAGTAGCCTCAGAAAGTGGTATATATACAAATTTTTTAAACAGAAATTTGAAAATGATACAGAATTCCTGAAGCAATTTAAATAAGTACTGATTTAATATTAAACATTATAGAGGAAGAAAGGAAATATAAAATCATTGGAAAATAATAAGTATACTGAAAAAGAAAAAGATTTATACAATGTTGATTCAACAAGGGGCAAGAAATTCTTACAATTTAGGTAATTATAATGTTTTGTATTAAATAATTTTATTAATAATTTCTTATTAATATCATAGATAAAGAAAATTGTTTTAAGATGTTTAATTTGCTTATTAGAACTATAATGTTTAAATTGGACACAAATGTATATTTATTTTTCCACAGAGTGCGCAATTAAGAAATATTGTTGTATTGTATTTTTGTATTGTTTTTAGGAATTTCGTTAAAACTTTTTTATTTTTCATTTATATTTCTACTTCTACTGGAAGTAAGTAAGACTCAAGATGCAGATTGTGACTTCTACCAGTATATAGTGCCTGGGGCAAATTATTACATTTACAATCCTCCGTATCCAAACCTTTCTGTTGGACCCAAATATTGCAAATTTAAGGCCGAGTCCCCTCCAGATTCTCGAATTACGCTTAATTGTTCCGATATAGCTATACCACAATCGGTAAGATAAATAATATATTGCATACTTTGGGTTAGTAGTAATGTTATAATTATATTGATATTTTTCTTATTATTAACGATTTTCTTTTCCTTTTCGAATAAGTAAAATATTGCACTAACCTGACAATTGACCTTCACAAATAGCATAACATAAGTTAAATGTTTCTGTCAATAATAATGCAAAATTGCCTTGCAATATTGACATTATATTGAGCTCAATTTTTGTTCTATTTGTGATCACTGAGGAAAATGAGTTTTCTATCCAATTGCTTTTTGACTTAACAAATTTTGCCAAAAAATTTAATTAATGTTTTGAATATTGATTGCTTTTGTTTTTCATTTAAAATATAAACAATTATTTCTTTAAAATTTCATATTTCAGCTACTGTGTGTGAGTCAATATTTAAGTATTAATACAAATCCTTCTAATCCATTAAATCTGCCATCGCGTTTTTGTGGATATGGATCATTTGACATGCAGTCAGTTAGAAATTTGATGACAGTTGTATTTCGTATTTTGCCAAGAGGCGTAGAAGCAAGGTTTTTATGCACTGTAACTGCCTCTTATGAAGATTAATGGACACCTAATATTTTGAACATAAAAATACTTTCTAAAACGTATCATAATTATGACTTAGAATTATAGAATTAAATATACAAGTGATTTATTAATGTATCGTAGACGACAATTTAAATTTGTTTAAAAATTTACGTATTCTTTTTTTTTATAACAAATATAAATTTTAAAATTAAACTATTAATAATATTTGGTCGTTGTACAAAAAGTTATTATAAAGTGTTAAAATTATATTTAACATGACATTAAAGGTTTAATTAAAAGTTTTACCCTTTGCACCAACAAATTGAAATTAAAAAAATAGTAAGTAATAAGTTTGAGAATTCAACATGCAATTTAAATATAATTAGATGGATTATATTTTAAATTGTTAAATTTTTAAAAAATTTTAATTGCATTTCTCAAGAAACAATTTTTTTGGAATTTCTAAATTAAATTATACAAACCTGCGATACTTTTTTTTAAACAAAAATTTAAAAACTTATTCTTATATATTTTTCCACAGGAATTAAAATTTTAAATAATTTAAATGAAAAAACTTTTAAAAATTTTATTATTTTCAAAAATTGTAACTGTAATTCTTCCAAAATTTTATTTTTTTTGAATATTTTGAATTCAATTATTCAAAACTAAGAATTAAAAAAAAAATAATATCAAGTTAATTGCGAAATTGTCAAAATTTAAGAAAAGTTGTCTCGCAAGTTTGAAGGTACACCATTTTTATCTTAATTGAGGCACATCATTGTCTCAATGACATTTTGGTTCCTTATACTCCCCACTACATCTACTATAAGTCACAAAATATATAATGACTCGTTAAAAAAGTTATACCATGTAAACTGAAAAAAACGGTTAATGTCACACACGAGAAACTGGCGATTTCGACACTTTTACTTACTTTTGTCGTTCCCTACCTAATTAAAATGATTATTATACACAAGGTATATTTAAAGAGCACAATAATTTATCAATTATGGTACTGCAAAATTATTTTTATAATTTTTAAAATATAATAATAAACGGAAACATAAAGTTTAAAAGTTCTAGAGATATGACCATATCCGAATTTTGAACTTCATAATCATCATTTACTTGAAAGGTAGGTGTCTATAATTTGATGTTAACATTATTCTAATATTAAGAATTGATATTTGTTATAATTTACTTTTAGTCGAATTCTTATTTTATAGATTAAATAAGTATGATAAATATAAATGACTATAAATTACACACTATGAAATTGCATGTATAATAAATTTTTGAAGTGTAATAATTATTTTCTATAATTTCTATGTAATCTAATTATAAATTAACATAATTTTTAACTTGTGAAATGGAAAGTAATATAATTGTTAAAAATAGAATATTTAGTTGTTATAATTTTTAAGAAATCTAATTATTATTCGAAATAATTATTGTTTTATATATGTTTTAAATAACATACATTTAAATCCTCGAATTATTATTCTGTATAATTGTATTAAATATAATTTTAATTTCTTACAATTTTTATTGTATATAATTAAATGTGACAAACCTACAACGTATGATGATGAAAAGGAACATTGACGATACCGACAGAAACTTGAGAAATCCAAGTAAATGTATGTGAAACAGTAAGTTCCGCTGGTAACGTCAAAGTTCCTTTTAATTACCGTACTTTGTAGGCACAGAAAAGCATATGGTAATTGATCAACATTTGACAATCTGTTTGTCACATTTAATTTTTCGTTTTTTCTCAAAATTTATTTCCTTCTCGCAATAGTCATTTTTATACTTCAGGTCACTTACGCTCTTTATAAATATTCTCAACTTTTCTTAGGAATCTTTAAATCGAAAGTTTTAAAAAAAAGTATTCACGGTAAGCAAAATGTATTCATCGTAACCCACCAATACGGTTTTGTCGCGAAAATGCAATCACCGAACGTCTCCACCAATACTTTTTCTCTATTCTGAATACTTTTTTTTTACTGGGTAATTAATATAATGCTTATTTTACAAACTTTTAACGTATTAATTTTTATGTCACGGAATTTATGTTTCGCAGAATATTGACTAATTATAAATACCTTATCCAATAATTTTCATTTCATATAATTTTGATATACTGTAATCTAATTTTTAATGGTAGTTTCCCAACCTTGTCAATAAGTGAAGATCGATAAAATAGAATTCTTCTTAAAAAAAAAACCGCAATATTATTTTTTGTTTTATACACGTTTCAAGAACACATGACAAATAAAATGAGTCATGAATATATGCAAATTTTTAAAAAATTATTAATAATACTTTCCAAAAAAATAAATTATTTTCTAAAATGTTAATACATCCTCTGAACAGTTCAATAATAATAAATTATATTTTTATAAATAATTTTTCTCAGGAATTCAATTATTTTAAAATCAAGTTCAATAAACTTAAAAAATCAAATGTTATAATTATGAATCAGACATGATTATTTTAAAAAGTTGAAAACATTCTTTGTTTAGTTTAATTTTTTAAAGTTAATGTTTGATTTTTCTCAATATTTTTGACGTAGTAGAAGCCATTGTAAAATATTAATTCTTTGTCCATTTTATTCAAAGGCATAAATAATACAAGAAAACGCAAATTAATGTTTAAACAGACCTACTGAACAATACACCAAATAATATTTATAATGTCTCACAAATATTTGAATTAAAACTTAGTCTTTGGTGTATGAGCCAAAATAAAAAAAAATAAAAATATAAGGTTTTTTTTAAAACATAACACACAATTCACTGAACATAGTTTATTGAAGAATAAAAATGAAAGCACTAATTATATTCGACAAATTTACATTTATTCTCGTCAGACCGTTTTATTCGGATAATTTCGTCGTTACTTAATTTCGATCATCGACACCTACAGTTATTTATTTAGGGTAAAATGCGGATAGATGCCCCTTTTCTCAGATCTCCAATATGAAAGAAACAATGTTTATGAATTAATATTTCTTTTTATACCTATATTGGCCATAACAATTTTGCTATAAAGATCCAGCCCGCTGGTACCCCGGGGTTATTGTTATAATAATGTGAAAATTTCAGATTACTGAAAATGTCCAAATATTTTCAAACCACTGGACAAAATTCCTCATTACAAGGACATTTAACACGTTAGAAAATATTTTCAATTATTTTCGTGTCTCAAATTAATCAGAGCACCATATTAGATCGGCGTTTTACATTTTTTTATAATAATTATTGTAATAAATGAGGAAGCAACTGTCCGTATCAAAGAGGATAGAAGCCCCCTATTTGGAGAGGATAGATTTTTACCAAAAATTTAATTGTTTTAAAGTCACTTTTATAATTATATGAGATTAATTTCATCAGAATTGCATTACTTGGAATTTAAGTGTCAATAATATGAAAAATTTAATTATTTGGGGGTTAAATCTTAGCTGGTACATAAAATATATCATTTTAAAAAAGTTTCTATTTCTATTTCTATTTAGCACCAAAAAAATTCAATAAAAAATATTTTTGGAAAACTTCTGTATCCATTATAATATATACATAATAAATAGAATACAATAAAAAATTATATAATAACATTTTATAATTTTTAATTAATTAGTTGAATTATTATATAAAAATATAATGGCAATAGTAAATTATTACATGTAATTTCCTACATTATGTTTTGATTTTAAATTCAATTAAAAACAATTCTAAATTCGAATATCCTAAATATTTCATGTTTTTAAACGGGGCGCATGAGATCGAATTTCAATTTTTCAGAAATCTAATTTAACCGAATATCAATTTATGCGAATCGTTTTTTCGTGGAATTGTAATTTTACAGAAGCGTAATTAAATAGAATCTGAATATTGCCGAAAATCTTTTTGCTAGAAATCTACTTCATCAGAATGTACATTTGTTCGAATATTAATTTACTAGAAATTCAACTTATCCGAATATCAATTTGATAGAATTATTTCGGCGCGAATTTTGATTCGCATAAATTGACATTCGGCTAAATTATATTTCTGGAAAATTGAAATTCAATCAAATTGTCTTTCTGCCAGATTATAATTCGGACGAATAAATATTCTACTAAAATGATATTTTAGGTAATAAAATTCTATTAAATAATATTTCTAACAAGTCTGGTTAGGGTCTTTTCATGCGCCCCATTTAAAAACATGAAATATTTAGGATATTCGAATTTAGAATTGTTTTTAATTGAATTTAAAATCAAAACGTAATGTAGGACCCGTTTGCAAATTTTTTAAAAGTTAACACAACAACTAAACAATAAAAGATAAAGTATAGGTGCCTCTAGGAAAAAGTGTCGCAATTAAATGATTTTTCAAACAAGCCATCGAAAAATGAAATCGGTTGATTCATTTAGTCACAAGAGTAAAAATACCGTAGGTATGGCCAGTTTGCCCCACTCTCCCCTAATAAATATTATTATTTTATTATATTATTTATATATTATTTAAAACTATTTAACTATTATTTAACTTTTTCACGTCGAATTAGTTATTAGTATAAATTTTTATTACTACTTGAGTAATAAAGTGTTTATATAAAAAAAATTCAATTATTTTCAAAAGTAATAAAATTTATGATAAAAAAATTACGTTATTATTATTGAATATTTAAAGAGGTTTTATATTAACAACTTTGTAAGTTTGGATTTTTTATACTTTTAACTAACAATTCTATAAAAGAATTATTTTTTTAAAGAAGTTTATTTGAATTTTACTTGAAATGGTTTTTTGTAAGTTTTTATTTTCTGATATGAAAAATTGAGAAATATCCAAATAGATGAAATTTTGTTAAACTAAATTCTAAAGAAATGAATTTGAAAATTCAAAGAACTTTATCAAAAATTAATATTGGGGAGACTAGGTGCAGTTGTTTTAATTTTGATAAAAACAGTTACTGTGATTAGAGTTTAATTCCAATTTGTTTGGTCAAACGATTAAATCAAAGGTATATTATCTAGTTTTAAAAGACAATAATTGATTTAGCTTTATATCTATTATTTAATTAACTAGAATCATTTGAGTGACAGCGTGTAAATTGTAACAACTGCACAAAGTGAATGTCGGTTGTTACAATACCAAAAATCATCGATAAAATTTCTAAATTGAAGGCAAATAATTTTTTATAACAATTTTTATTAATTATTTATAATTTTTGGCTCAACGTAATAGTACGTGACAGTTTCATAGAGATGGCAGCATTAATATTGTTTCGAAATGAAAAAAACTTAAAAAAGTTTTTTTTTCATCAATTTTGAAGACGAATTTAGAAAATCCATGAGATTTTTCATAAAAAATGAGTGTAATTACATTTTTGACAAATATTTTACATTTCAAACGAATCTGCTGAATTTTGGAAAAAATATCCGTTCTCATTATCACTTGTAACAACTGCACAACAGGTACATTTTTTACAATAAAACACTTTATTAAAAAAGTATACACTAAATGTGGACAAGCAAGGCAGTTTTTTAAAGCTTAATCCTCATAGAATTGATATTAAAAAAATTACTTTGTTAAGTATAAAGGTCTATTAATTATTTAAAAAATATCAGACACACAGTTAATTTGGGGATATAAAAAAGCGTTGCAGATCATATTTATTCGAAAAAACGATCAAAATGATCCATATATTGTATTAAAAACTGCAAGAGTTGATATCATTTGTTTGTTTTACAGTGTCATTGAACATCTGTCAATGTGCAAAAATGTATGTAAATTTTAGGTTTTGTTTGTGCTTTTCGTGAATATATATTTTTTAAAAAAAAGTTAAAAATAAAAGTAAATTTTAGAGAAAAGGATTTTTTAATGACTTTACAACTACTCTGTAATTGTCATAAATTTTTAGTTAACCTTCTCTAGAAAAAATTTATTACAAAATCTTTATTGGAAATTTTATACGAATCTAAACATCTTGCCAATTAAACAACAATCAATTAGTTAATGGAATTATAATTAATAAAGTTTAATTTCGATTATATTATTTAGTATCAGGTTTTCGTAACGAGAGTTATGGATGTTTCAATTGAATCGTGAATTTCAAAAAGAGCTCAACTCGGTTTTTTGAAATTTTACAGAAGACACAGAAAACTGTTTATTTCAAACAGCTTTTATTAAAAGAGTCCAGCTTTCTTTAGTAGTAACTAGATGCTATTTTATATTATAAAATGATAAAAGAATTGTCCTTAATAACAGTGAATTTAATAAAATTGAAATTATAGTTTTCAAAGTTGAGTCCTTTTCAAAATTCATGAAAAAAATTTAATCCTTTTAATCACAAAAATATATTAATAAAATGTTTTACTATCGAGAAACAATTTATTTATTTATTTAATTTTAAAATGTATTGAATTTTTTTAACTCAAAAATAATTCAGCATTAGGTTAGAAAACAAACAATCTTAGGTTAAAAGTTAAAGGAAAACGCACTTTAATACACTTTTCTCTGAGTAGAGAAATTTTCGATATTAATTATATAATAATATAATATTAATTATCGATATTAATTATCAAAACGAGTTCTATAAATAAGTTTTATTATTAACAATTTCTAGCAGAAACAAATGTTGTGGCAATAAGAATTAAATAATGAAATAACAAAGCGTGAAAACTTTAAAATTAGTTACAATCAGATAATGTGAATATAAATCAGCTTTTGACATTTAATTTTCTGCAGATTCTAAAACTCCTAAAAAACTGTAGATATTGTGCTTTGATAAATAAAATCTTAAAATCAGAAAATTCTGTGTTCAATAAAATTAGTAAACATTTTGCGATGGAGATTTTTATTAAATTTTTAGAATTCGAGTAAAAAATTTAATGATGAAATTAAACATTTTTTCCGTTTGATTCTTATCCTCGTAATTATCTGTGTAATATAAGTTATTTGCTTTCATTAATTATTGAATTATATATATTAGGAAAACTGATAAAAGATTTTAGTTTAATTTTCTTTTCTTTTTAATTTCTTAGTGTTCTTTGTGAAGAGATATATGACAGAGAAAATTATTCTCTACTTTTGTTATGACTCGTACTTCCAGTTCGTTGTTTGAAGAAATGGTAGTATCTTCATATTTAATTTAAAGCTTAATGCTTTAATTATTGATATTGTTATGTTCGGGTATTTTTTATTTCCTCGTGGTGTTCTTCTTGCTGTAAGAAAATAAAAAAATTAATGAATTTAGAATAAAACATTAACTTACTTTAGATTCTCTTTAGGTTGAAAAAAATATAACAATTTATTTAAAACAAGAATTATGGATTTTATAGTGCGGACAAATTTTTCAACTATATTAAAAAACTTAAACTTAAATAAATAAAAATAAAAAAAATTATTATTTTCATTAAAGCAAAATTGCTTTACTTGTTAGAAAAAATGACCAAGCCTAGCAATAGTCCGATAAATTGAAAAAGGAAGATTTGAAACTTTAGAAAAAAACCTTTGAGCAATGTAAATATATTTTTAAATATACTACGATTTTTTTGGCAAAATTAATTGTAGAATCGTTTTAGGAAAAAGGAAACAAAAAATAGTTTAAAGATATTATGCTGTACTAATGAAAATACAATTTATAAAGATAATCTTGCATATTGAATTTAATTTGCAGTGAAAATTCAATTTAATTTAGTGAAGATATTTTTTATTTTAACTTTCATTAAAGACGAGTTTCAAACACAATTCAGGCCAAAATCCTTTGACAGAAGTGTGTAAATTAATTTACTTGATTTTTATATACAAAATTCTCATTTTCGAAAAATTAGCGCTTTTGACACCTTTTGTCATGCTGCATTTAATATAAAAATTTCTTTTTCGTGGTAAACCCTCACTGTAGATGTAAAGTAAAAGTAGTTATAAATTCTTTCAAAATATTAGAAAATTTTTTTCTTGGGTTTTGCTAATTGTTTTAATTTTTCACTGAAACCTTCTTCTATGCTATTATGAGATTTGGTCATTTTTAAGCACTGCAAATATTTAAGTAAAAGGCATAATTAATATTATAAAATAATAAAAAGAAGAAATTCAAACCTCACAGACTTCTTCGATGAAATGAAATAACAATTTAATCTTAATAATCTTGCTGGATAAGATTGGAGTAAGTTTCTTGAATAGATTCTATGAAACCAATGTTTGAATATTTTAGTTGTCCAGTTAAAAATAATACTTTTTTCTCGTCAACGTGTAAAGTTTAATTCTCCTCTCGAATATTCTTAGTTTATTTGTCTCGTTCTCAATTTTTTCAATTCAACCGTTTGAATGAATTTTTAGTCTGAGAAATTTTCAAAGTTTGGATGTAGATTCAACAATTTTTCCTTCATTTTTTGTCCAAATCAGCTTGCTCATCTAGTAATAAAGAAAATTTTGTAAAATTAAATTTGTCAAAACTTGAATAGCGAATTTTTAAAAGGTTCAACTTGATTTTGGGAAACTTTTAAAGAAGACAAAATAACTAATATTTTTAATTTTAATTCATAGAAGAGAGTTATTTGATATATAGTTTCTGTAATTATACTGAAAACTAAGCATAAATATAAGTTTAAATTATTTATTTTTTAAGAGAATTAATTAGAAAAATATTTGTCAAAATTTTTCGCTATTATTTGATTTCAAAATTTAATATTTAATTAAAATTTAAAAAATGAGAAATTATATTAAACTTAGAATAAATAAATATTGTATTTTTTTATTGTTATAATGATTTCTGTATACTTTATAATATTAAAAATTTAAATAATTTGTCGTAAGACGTTTGTATTATAATATAAAAAAATTATCAAACCTGTTATGAAGAACATGTGATGTAGTTCCCTTGCTTCTAGAACATGTCTCCGAAACATCGTTTTACAATTACAAAAGATTTGTTTTCAAATTTGTGACAATGAAATGCTTGGTGAATTTTAAAATTATGAGGTCTGTAAATTTGAAACTCTTTTTGAACAGAGACTTCATAAGCCATTAATTTCATATTGAGAGAAGCAGTTTCCACTGTTTTACAAATAAAAACGGGTCCATCGTTGTATTTAAGGATTATTTCCAATGCTGCAAATTGAGGAAGGTTGTCATCGGAGTAACCAATAGGCAAAAGACATTTCCTTGGAACATATTTATTTCCGTTAACGATTACCCATGATGTTGTGCAAAGCAGTTCTCCTGGTAGAAGTAAATGAGTAAACGGTAACTCATAATTTAATATTAATTTTTGGCGGCCGAATTGAACTTCATTTGTAAAAGGTTGTAGTAACTCTAACGCTTGCCTTTGTTGATATCTAACTGATAACGTTTGAGGCAAATTTTTATAGTTTCTCATTCCTTGCGTAATTCTTTTAAAAACTTGATGTTTTGCTTCCGGACGTAAGCACATAAATGTGCAGAGCGGGCCAAAATACAAAATTATTTTTGGATAGTGTATCATAAAATGTTGTTTAGGGATTAAAGTGTCGGCACCATATAGATCGGTGAATCCTTGTAAATATTCCGTTATTAAATCACCCAATGTGTCTATCATTCCGCGGCCAATTTCAAATCCGAACACAATACACGATATTTGCAGCAGAGTTAAGTAATTTTCGAAGTAAGAACAATTTATCTCGACGAGGTCCTGAATTACAAATAACAATATATACGCCAGTGTCCAAATTTCTACAGCTGATAATTTTAAACCTGCACCTGGAATGAGGTGTGTGGCCTTTAGTGGAGGTGGACGCTTGTCCACTTCGGTGTAACCAAAATCAAAGGAAGCTATTCGCTTATTTAGATCCGCAACTGAAATTTTATTTAATATAACTTTTTGGCACAAGTATTGTATTGTTTTAGGTATTACACCTAGAATTAGGTCATGAATTAGGTCAGGGGGTGCACCTTCAGTTACATGAAATCCCAACAATTCATTTAAAATACTTCTTCTATTAATTCCGTATTCTGTCATCAATTTTTCCTTTTCCTGGCCAACTGCATTTTCTATATTTTCAACTTGTTGGTTGTGATCTATTTCATTGCGTAACAAATTCTCATCTTCCTCGACCATTTTATGCATTTCTTTTAGACTAGCAAGACAAGTTCGACACTGATGCCTAGTTTTACCAAATGATTCTTTCACACCGCAGGCACAATTTTGTGAAAGGTTATCTCCAATACTGGCTAAAATTGAACCTCTGATAAGTGTCCCATCTGAATAATTAATGCCATTCTCGATTTTTTTAAAATCTTTGACAATACACTTCAACACACAATTTATGTCATATAGTTTGACATATTTCGATCTTACAATTCCGACTAAATGGATGTGACGTAGTGAAGATCGGTACATAGGGTGTACTTGAAGAGTGGTAGCATAAATCATTAAAAACTTTTGATTTCCAGCAGCCTTCGATCCTAAACCGTCACACATATCTACATCATCCATATAGAGTAAAATATTGTGGTGAGAATTATCTTGTCTCCATATTTGAGTTTCATACTTTGATCCGTCCCGAAATGATGCAAGTATGCCTGGCTTGGAAGTATGATTGTCTAAAATATCAGCGTACGTTGGATTTTTTGAAAAATTCCTTAAAACTTTGGAGAGAGGAACAAAGTACATTTCGCCAACTTTTAATTTTGTAGGACGTTCTTCATTAGTTTTCGCACTTCCATGCTTGACAAACCGTTTTCCTAAAATGCGTTTCTTTGGCATGAGTACATTAAATTCATTTTCGAAATACTTTGTTCGTTTTTGTTTACTATTAAATTCATTAATAAAGTTCAGGTTTTGAACATATTTATTGATATTAAAAAATTCTCCAAGTTGCAGATTTCCTTTTTCGGATACTATTCTTTCTACTTCTCGCAAAGAATGAATGACAAATTATTAAATAGCTTCTTGCATAGTTTTAAGTATAATTTCAATTTTTTCTTCAGATATATTCGTAGTCGATCTCAGTTGTAGTAGAAGCAGCCCTATGACACGCTTTCTAGGATCATTTTCATTTGCAGGTACTTGTTCATCTTCGTCATCGGTAATATATTTATCTAATTCATCAGTAACGCTTTCATCAAAATCACCAGTATCGCCTTCATCTGACTCATCTGATTCGTCCACATCAATTTCGTCCGTATCGCTATCACTAACTAACAATTTTTGATTATTTCTTTCGTTAATAGATTGGTTTTCGCTGTCACTAATTAACATTTCCTGATTATTGGTTTCATTGCTTGATTGATTTTTGCTGTCACTAATTGACATTTCTTCATTATTGATTTCGTCGATTGATTGGTTTTCATTGACCGATTGATTTTCGTTGGTCGATTGGTTTTCGTTGGTCGATTGGTTTTCGTTGATCGATTGATTTTCGCTAATCGAGTTTCTTGATTCGTCTACAATATTCCTTTGAACGCCTTCATCTTTTCCTCCAACTGCTGGTTCAATCATTACTCTCATTTTGTGATTTCTTGATTTGTGAGATCTGAGAGAGGATTTGTTGTGAAATACCGCTTCACAGTTCAAGAAAGTGCATTAAAATCTTCGATTTATATTGAACAATGCATGGTTTCGCTGTAAATGATCATTTATGTCATTATCAGAATGAAAATATTCTTTGCAGGCTTCACATTGTATTGGAAGGCGTTCCATTTCTGAAAAAAAAGAAAACTAAGTATTTTTGCAAATTTAGGAACAGATTCAAATTACGACTGTTTCCAATAGAATAAAAATGATTAATAAAATGCAATAAATATTCTCTAAAATTTTAAATATTTCAGGTTTGTATTTCTAAGCTTTAAACAAAAAATTTCAATTTTCCGTGAAAAAATAAATGAAAATAATAATTTTACATTTCAGAAATCACACATATTATATAAATTCTTTTATTGTTTTGGAGTCACTGAATATATATATATATGGGTGATTCTCCTGAAAGGGACCACTTCACGTGTCTCCAACATGAGGTTCATTATTTAAATTAATTTTTCATTAATATTTTATCAAGTTTAAATTTTTTGAAAAATTTATTTATAATCTACGAAGATTTATCTATCTTTATATAATCTTCTATTGCTTATATTTAAATTTCTTCCTATTTAAAAAACATATTTAATTTTGTCATCGAATTTTGGTTAAACAGAATGTATATTTTATAATTATATTTTAACGTATTTAAACAATTTCAACATATTTATGATATATATCAAATTAAAGTTTAGAATATAAGGATTATTTTTTACTTACATTTGTTTAAAATAAGGTAAAAAAGTTATTTAAATTATTAATTAAAATAGTATTATCAATGAGAGTAAAAATTAAATTCATCTCCGAAGCCTCATTTTTTATATAATAACATCATATTTTTTAACGTTTTAAACATAATATGTAATCGATGTGAAAATATTTGATGATTAAAACTAAAAATATTGTTTAAAAAATTGTAATATTTTTAAAATTAGAAAAAATGAGAATTTTTTCATTAAATTATCAATTCATCTCCGAAGCCTTTTTTATATTTGATAGACGTTTTCTTTTGTTTTTAATTTTTTAATCATTGTTTTGAAATATTTAACCCTCAAATTAAATTATTAATTTAATAAAAATAAAATATACAAGCAAAAAGTGCAATAAATTAAAACATAACAATTTATTATTTTAAAAAAATATTCCTACCGAGTTTTTTTACAAAATAATTAATTTAAAAGTTATAATTAATTATACTTAACCTCTAGAACACATGATAGTAGAATGTTCCTGGAGGTCTTATTTCTGAAAATTAATTTTGCGCAACTTATATTTTTATCTTTAAACATTTTCTAAACTTATTTATGAAAGAAAAGTAACAAAAAAAGAATAATTTGATTTTTTGGAAATTCAACCGAAAAAGGGTCCCTTTCAGGAGAATCACCCATATATATATGAAAGTTGTCAGAACAAAAAGGGTCAAGCCACAATTTCATGATTTTATAGAAAACGAAAATAAATTTCAAAATTTTTTCATCATTTAAGAAAAATCTTTAAAGAGACTGTTTCGAGATATTATTTCGCTTAAATAGTGTAAATACAATTTATTAAAATAAACCTACATATTAATGAAAAAAAAGTAAAAGTGGACCATTTTAGGGTTACGTTACGAAGAATAATATTTAAATTTTTGAAAATTAGTAATTTTCCAAAAACTTGTTACTGAAAAGTGATTTTAATTGATAGTGGAAAAGGAACAAAAAACAAATTTATTTGATTCAAACTATTTCTAAATAGGCATAAATTTTTTCAGTGAAATTTAATAATATATTTAAGAATATCAAAAAGAAGGCAATTTTTTTAACCATATTAACTTGCTCCCTTTTGTCATGCCACCCTTCATATATACTTAATAATAATAATAAATAATAAGTTTCGGTAATAAACTTAACAACATGCTCAAAAGTTATTTCTATTTAAAGTGATATTTCGACTGTTAACACACATGTGAAAAAATTACGACTTTACACACGTTTAGAGGGAATCCCTCACTACATTGTAAAATAAGCAACATTACAACATAAACAAAGGAATCAACAAAAATTTAGTTTTAACGCAAACTTACAAATATGTAGTAAATTATTCTAAATTATAAAATTAATAAAATTAATTTTCGGTCTCAAAAATAAAAATTAATTACACGAATGCACATCTTCGAAGGAATTCCACTTGACATGGAAAAATAATGTAACATTAACAAATAAGTAAAAAATTCATTAAACAATTCATTTTAATTATATTTATAATATAATTTTGTCATTAAACAACAGTGGAACAAAAAATGTTTTGAAAACTTGATTTTTTCATTTGACATAACCTAACTTTTTCGAGTTTTTTCTGGCTTTGAAGCTTCATAATTAAATATTAATTATTTTTAAACTAAATGTTTTTTTAGAAATGTGTTGAGAAGTAAATTGTCGAAAGGTATAGAAACTGATTTTATTTTGCAATGAGAAAAACAAAAGTTATTTAAAAAATACTGAAACCGTAGAGGGAATTCCTCCCTACGTGTGTGACGGAGGGTTAAATAATATTTGTAATTCTAATGAGATATAAACAAACAATAGAGATTAAACTTAAACATATAATTATTGACATTTTCAAAACAATCTTCTACACAAACTCACTTATATGTTGTAAAACAACATAAAAAAAGCGAAAAGCGAATGAATGAAAAATTTTATAATTATCATAACCTTAATTCATTATATTTTCAAAATTGGGATTTTGAAAGAAAATATAACACATATAATGTTTATGAAGATTTTTCGCATTTACACTGTTCTCTTTTTAAGGCTTTACTATTATTTAGTATTTCAAGATTTGCCAATTTTATATTTTTAGAAAAAAATTATTCATAAAAAATATCCACAAATAATAAGTTCTTATTTCTTAGATTTAATTTTCAATGAATATTTACCTGTTGACAAATTTTATCCACTTACAAATAACTAGTTTCGTAAGGTTTTGTTATTCCTATTTCCCATTTATTAAATAAATGTACAACATTACTATATTAAAAAGCTTTTTGTTTATTTCATGGGTGTCAAAATAATAAATTTGACATATGAACAGGGTTGAGTAATTTATCATGCTAACTTAATACTAGTAAAGGCCAACGCACAATCGGTTCGTAAAAGTCGTATGCAAACAGGGTTGGGAAGTGAGGCGTCACTCGAGGTTTTTGACTGTTTTAGGATGCGATTCCATGTGAGCAGAATACGTCGATCGAAAGCAGAAAATAATGAGTGCAAAAGAGATAGATAGATGTTTTTGTTCATTTACTCTCATAATTCTGATTCTCTGCTTTCGGTCGATGTATTCTATTCACATGGGATCACACCTTTAGGTTGAGTCCACAATAAGATTTTTTTAGTGTCATTGACCATAAGTGACAGCGAGCTGTGACAGTGTACCTTTACTCTTATGTGTCACCATGATAACCTACAGGCAGACAGACAACTACCAAAGGTGTGAGTGCGCCATTATGTATATATTTCATTACTTACCTTTATTTTTGACGATTTTTTTCCAAAGAAATTAATTTTATTTTGTAATTATAAAATGATTTCCAATTTATTTGCAAAACACTGAGGACGAAAACTCGCGATTTAATTAGTTTCTCTAAATTTAAATATAATTAAAATTACAACTGCAATGATGTTAAAAAGAGCGACTGTTGCTCCATCTTCTAAGTACATGATAGTTTTTAAAGTACTATTTTTCATTTGGAAATGTGAGTGTACCATTCTATGTTTCATTTTCATTACTATAATTGCGAGAGTACATTCGATTATTTCGATTTAAATTCGAGATTTAGGAAAATATTACGCATGTTTTTATAATAAAAAAAATATTTATATAGGTTAAATTTCTAGATGAAGATTATTTTCAAAATAATTTTTATATATTTTTTGATGAATTAATTTCAAAGATTAAAAAAAATTTTATTGTTTTTTTGAAAATGTAAATTTATTTTAAATTACTGATCGTGAATGTTATTGTGAACTTTACCAATCCAACATTTATAAAGAAGAAAATGTGATTAAAAAAACGTTAGAACTTATTTACGTCGTATTGTCATAATTCTCAACAATAGAATGTTATTTTTGGAAACCTTGACAACACCTTGTCAAAAAAATAACAGAATAATTTTTTATTTATTCTTGAATTCCTGCGAACAATTTAATTTTGTGTTTCTTAAGACGAAACTGACTGAGTGCGCTTGAAATAAAAATAAACAAAGGTAATTTTAATTCGTTTCAATATGTGTACTTTAATTATACAAAAAAAAAATAATTTAAATAATTAATAGATAAATACTAATTAATAATATAAAAAGGCAAAGACAGGGAAACTTATTATTTTTATACAGTGCTGCTCAATAACTTTTGCCCACCCTACAGCGATTGAGAGCTGTACAAAAAGTTTTGTATTTTATTTATTATTAAAGATAAAAATCTCAAAAAGGTCTCTTTTTAAAGCTCTTTTCCTGAGCTTTAACACTGTATAAAATAAAAATAAAAAAATTAATTTGTTAATGTATAAAAAATGTTATTGCAACATAAAATTTTTCGTTTTTTTTTGTTTTTTTTAAAGTGATACAGTTTGTTAGGAAATGGTCGCATTTTAATCCCACATATATTTTCTGAAAGCTAGTTTTATCACCTTTAAAATGCATTTTTTAAAAATTTTATACGATAATTTTTAAGAAAAATATGATTTTTTGTTTAAAAAAATAGCCATTTTTTTCAATTGTTGATAACTCAAAAACGGTTACTTTAGGAAAAAAATTTTAAGAACATAAATTATTCCTTTTTATGTGCAGAATTAGAAAAAAAATATTAAAAATTTTTTTTTCAAAAAAATTTTTTTTTCAATTGTCGACAACTCAAAAACGGTTACTTTAGAAAAAAAAATTTTAAGAACATAAATTGTTCCTTTTTATGTGCAGAATTAGAAAAAAAATATTAAAATTTTTTTTTTCACAAAAATTTTTTTGACTTTTTTTGAAAAAATTTTTTTTTTCATTTTTTATATTTTTTAGTTTTAATTGTAGAAACTCGCTTTTTACACTCATTACAACAAGCAAGAAAATTTTTCATCGTATTTATTTAATTTTTTTCAATAATTTTAACTCACCAATCATTTAAATAACTTTTGATATAATACTTATTTATTATATTGTTTGTAAACGGATTAAAGGTTCTTAATTACTTCGACGAATGTCATCATAATGTCAGTCTTGTGACAATTGTCATAAATATCGGAAGTCTTTCTCTATATATTTGAAAATACGTATATTTAATTGTATTTCAGAAGAAAATATTTTTTATACATGCAAAGTAAAAATAAAAATAATTTAATTTTCTATAACAATTTTAAACGTGATTTTTTAAAAAATAAATAACATTATTAACGAACTTCAATTATATAAAATAAAACAAGTGCCTGAAAACAATTGTCAATACTTTCACATTTCATATAAAAATAAATAAAAAATAAATAAAAAATAAAAAAAATAAATAAAGACAAAAAAAAATTTTTTGAAAAAAAAATTTTTTATATTTTTTTCTAATTCTGCACATAAAAAGGAACAATTTATGTTCTTACAAATTTTTTCCTAAAGTAACCGTTTTTGAGTTATCAACAATTAAAAAAAATGGCTATTTTTTAAAACAAAAAATCATATTCTTCTTAAAAATTATGGTATAAAATTTTTAAAAAATGCATTTTAAAGGTGATAAAACTAGCTTTCATAAAATATATTTGGAATTAAAATGCGACCATTTCCTAACAAACTGTATCACTTTAAAAAAAACAAAAAAAAACGAAAAATTTTATGTTGCAATAACATTTTTTAAACATTAACAAATTAATTTTTTTAATTTTTATTTTATACAGTGTTGAAGCTCAGGAAAAGAGCTTTAAAAAGAGACCTTTTTGAGCTTTTTATCTTTAACAATAAACAAAATACAAAACTTTTTGTACAGCTCTCAATCGCTGTAGGGTGGGCAAAAGTTATTGAGCGGCACTGTATGTGATATTTTATTTTCTTAAATAAAAAGGAAATCATTTATTATATTATTATTATTAATTCTGATTATTATTAATATCATTATATTTCAGATATGAATAATAAAGACAGCTATAACATTAAGAGGGGTCGATGTAAGTGCGAAGAATGTCCTGTGTATTGTTTCAGCAAGGACAATTTGTGTTCCTATTGTGGATGCGTTCCTACAAAACACGCTAAAATAGGTGAAATAACAGAAAAAGATTTCAGACTTTAATATATTAAATTTGTTTATTAGTGGTTGAAGAGAAAAAATTTAACTTTCTACTATATTTTAAAAAATATTAAAATTTTAAGCATTTTTATTTTTGGAAAATTGAGTTATTTATGAATTTAATTATTTATTACTTAATTAGTTTTTAAATATCCTAAAACTAATTAAAATAATATTAGTTTGTAAATACACAATCAGTTGTAATGTTTTCTCAATGAGACTTTAGTAACAAAGATTATTACAAAATTATCAATATTGTTTTTTAAAGATATGAAAATTTTTACCTTGAAACAAATTTTTAATTTTCTATTTTTGAAGATTTCGAATAAAATTTGTTAAATAACCTTTAGAATGTATAAAGTCAAATAATGTTTTCTCTTCAAATTTTGAAAAATGTTTGTTTTTTGAATTATACTGAAAAAAAGTCTGAAACAAATTTTTTCAAAATTGTCCCTTTCTAATCTTTTACTTTACTTTAAAGCCTGGTGTTGGCAATATTTATTTTAAAACTTTATATTTATTTCAGAAAATGAATCAACTGCAGGAACTTCTGTAGAAGAATCAGAAACTTCATCAACTGCACCAATTCAAATGCGTGAAGAAATCTTTCCAGACAATCCAAAGGATGAAACATTCAAAGAGGCAATTTTTAATGAAACTGACGAAAGCCAAAATCCATTCTTAAACTTACCTTTGGACATTCAACAACACATGGTAAAAAATTTAAATTAAATTCTATACATTCTAACTAATTTTATCACGAATCGAAAAATATCATTACTCTAAACTAGTAACTGAATAAAATGAAAATCTTACTAAAACTAATTTAAAATTCTATATAGATATCTTAATAACTTAATCATTTTAATAATTAAGGTTTTTCATTTTTAAATATTTCTTTAAGCCTTTTAAATGAATACGATGTTAATAAATGTATAATGCACACACAGAATGACTTAGCTCTTCTTATTCCGGATACTTTTAATTTGAATAAAGAAGCAGACATTCAACTAGGATTATATTCAAAAATGGAGAGAAATGAGTTCAATAAATGCATTCGAACCTTTGCAGATAGAATGATAAAGAGTGGTTACACTTCAAAAGAAGATGTTCTTCAAATTTCTTTAATGGCATCTAATAAGTTTTTATTTTTTAATGAAAAACAAAATCTTCAATTCTAAATTTTATTAAGAAACCATATTACGAAAAAGTTTGAAATCATCCAAAAATTTGTTTCCAGATTTTACGATAAATAAGGGATTCAATTTCCTAGGGAAACACTCCCCATTTCATCTCTTTGACAAAAATTCTTGATGTGTTACCAAAAAGCATGATAAATATGTATTTATTACTTATATTTTAGATATTTAAATTAAAAATTATTGAATAACTTTTTCTACTGAATGTAAGGTTAATATTATTTACAAAATGTATTCGAGAAATGTCATTAAAAAACAATAGATTGTCAACAGCATTAGAATGATCTAAATTTTGTATCATTTTGATCGCTTTTTTAATTAAATTTGATATGCAACGCTTTTTGATATCCTCAAATTAACTGTGCAGATGAATTGTTACATCCCAGGTACATTTTTAAGAAACTGTTTATGTAACTGCGATGTAACTATTTTTATAACATATAATAAACACGATAAAAGCATTTAATATTCCGAAATTGAGATAGAAGTTATAACTGAAATTCTATACTTCGTCCTACATATTAGAATAATGATTAAAAAACAAAACCAGAGATAGAAATTGACAAAAATAAGAAACAATGCGTTGAGTCAAGGAGTGACTCACGCAAGCTCGCACTCAGCCGCTATGACCTCATTACGCAACCCGAGTTCTGTGAATCACTTCTTGTAACTCTAGCTTCACTTTTTCCATAATTGAGGTAGATATTTAGATCATTTGTCGAAATCGCATTCTTTCTTCTTTTCTCAATTATAAATAGAATTATAATGAATAAGTATTATTCTAAAGAATTGACACCTTTTACCCCCATAATTGTCTACAAACTCTCCCACTTTTTAATAATTTTATAGTATATAAGGCAAAGCTTTTTAACACAAATTGTTAAAAGTTCCGGTGCGGTTTATAAGACCAGTAAGCATTGTAGAGCGACCCTTCAGTTTTTCATTATTTATTGTATTCTTTCTTTAATCGGCAACTGCAGTTCGAGTTGTACTCGGTTATTGTGCAAGTCAATTTTGTTATTCACTTAGAAACAAGTTTCTTTCCGTAAAAGGTGCAAGAAAAGCAATTTGACACTTAGAATCAATAATTTTAATGTATTAACTGTCGTATTTTGCGTGTCAAGTTTCATTAATTGTAGTTTTTCACCAATTCTTTCTTTAATTGGCAATTGCAGACCGAATTGTACTCAATTATTGTGCAAGTTGCTTTTCTCACACTTAGAAACAAGTTTCTTTCCATAATTAGGTGCAAGTGACGATAAGTAACACTTAGAAACGGTACTAACTCTTGAAACAAACGCAAAAACCCTAAAGTTGTGAAAGTTACATAAGTGTAACATAACAAACTTTCTCAGTTTCATTCAATTAAAACAACATCTTGAAAACCAAACTTATATCGACCAGCGCTTCAATTTTGAATCTACGACTAATCTGTAAACTAAAAGTAAGTAACATTGTATAATTTTGTAAACATACTCTTGAATATTTAAATAAATTGTTAAAAAGGGAATATTTATTGTTGTTGTAACTCAAAACCCGTAGTTTTGACAAGTACAAACGATCCTACTTAAAAATAAAGGTCAAGCCTTACCAACTTGACCATAATCAGCCTACCATTCCTCCAAAATTCTTTAACCTAACCTATCAAACTCGCCTTCTGCTCGGGATGTAACAGCTGATTTGGTGGCAGCGGTGGGATTCGTCACTTTTGTTAGACAATTATAATATTTCCTATTAAAAAGTATTAAATTCAAAATTTCAAATAATTTAGGAGTGTTAATTAATTCAAATTATTCTTTCTTTAACCGGCAATTGCAGTTTGAATTGTACTCGGTTATTGTGCAAGTTGTTAAGTTTTAACACTTAGGATTGTTGATTTCTGCTCGCGGATCGGAGTTATACGAAACACTATTCTTTCCTTCCACTAGGTGCAAGTTAAACACTTACAACACTTAGAATAAAGAAAAATTTAACTGACGCTCTAACAACATTCTTTTCAAGTAAATTACTAATTACACAAAACACATTATACAACATAAAATTAAAGTAATAAAAGAACAAGTTGTATAAAATCGTTCTTACGCCTTTTGGCGAATTTCGATTTTACTAATAGCATTTTACGCTGATCGGCGAATTTGTTATTAGGGCAACTAACTTTATTAAAACACAAGTTCTTGATTTTATCATTTTACGCTGATCGGCGAATTTGTTAAAATAAAGAGATTTTCTAAATTTTGTTAAGTTTGAGGCTTATTTTAGAGTTATTTTTACGCCGATCGGCGAATTTTAACTTTAAAGAAGTAGAGGCTTTTTCCTAAAAAAAAAAAAATTTCCATAATCAAACATACTACTTTAACAATAATTTAAATTTTCTTATAATCAAAGACAAAATGTCTTTAATTACAGTTTGAGATCATGCAAAATAATAACGATAAACCAAGGAATAGAGGAGGAAAAAGAAATCAGAAACGCTTTCAACAAAAACAAGTAGAATATACTGATAATTTATTAGAAGTACGAGAATTAAATTCAATTCAAGAATTTTCAAAATTTTTCGAAAAATTATTAACTAATACGGAGCAAATTTTAAATAAAAATAAAGAATTGTAACAAAAATATTGTAATTTTGCTAAGACAACCAAATTTTAATAAAAATATAAATTTAAAAAATTAAATGAGTAGTTATTTTTCAAATCTAAGTTATAATCAACATAATTACCCTTACGTTGAATTGATTTCGGGTTATTTCAATTTACATAGAGGTAACTTTTTAATAGATCACACCTTATCAATAAATTTAATTCAACAATCAGCAATAGCATCATTCGTATACATAGAACGTAATAGTTCAACTATATCTCGACAAGGTGCGATTCATACTATTGGAAATACAATAATAGAATTTAGTGATTTCTCTTTGAGATTTGAAGTTGACGCTTATTCTCATAGTGATACAGAAATTATCGGTATATTAGGAGCACCATTTCTGGATCAAATTTTTGAAACTAGATATTTTGAAAGAATAGCAGTCATTTACGAAAGAGAAATCTGGAGACGTGAATTATCAATTCAAAGACGATTAAGACGTCGAGTAGCTAATTTCTTTCGAAATACTTTATTTAGAAGATTCTTCTAATACTCATAGAAATTTCTCATGAGTAAGCATATGGTGGATATCACGTCAAAACTCCACCCAAAAAAAAAATGTTGTCCAATTATTCCCAAATTTTTTTTATGATATGCCCTATAGGTTAGTAATTTATCATATAAATTTTTTTGAATTTTATAAAAAATTGTCCAAGGGGGAGGGGGTAGAAGTTCTGAACTTTTGCGTGACGCGCTCCACTTTGATTATTTCTTATAATTAGAGGAAAAAATTTTAAAAAAAATCAGAATATGGGTTTTTTAGATTTTTTCATGGGCTTTCGAATAGCAAAGTCTATTTTCAAAAATTTTTTTATTTTGACATAAATTTTGAAAAAATAAAAATAAATTTTCACTTTTCGCATCTTTGGGTTCATTTTTTCTTTTTTCTTTTATTTTTAAATGAAAGCTGAGCTTTTTTCTGATGAAATACTTGTTTTCCAAAAAACCTTTTTTTTTTGTTTTCGAGAAATGAATTTTTGAATATAGCGCATCACGTCGTCGCGCCGCAATTTAATTTATAAAACGTTACAATGAACTATTTTCTGCATTTTACAGGGTTGAGACTGACATTAGAACAATATAATGCCTGCATTATAGTTTTTTTTTATTTTTTTAAATTAAAAAAAATATTTATTTTTTAAAATTTTTAACAAAATTAAAAAAAAATTTTTTTTAGACTTTTATTTTTAATTTAATACCTACAATTTATTTATTTTCATTTCTAAAGTAAAAAAAAGCGAACAGAAAAATAAAATACAGGCATTAAATTAAAAATAAAATTGCAAAAAAATTTTGTTAAAAATTTAAAAAAATAAATATTTTTTTTAATTTAAAAAAATAAAAAAAAACTATAATGCGAGAAAGTATCAAAAAGACACAAAAAAAAAAAAAATAAAAAAAAAATAAATAATTTTTTTTTCTTAACATGAAACTCAACATGGAATTATTTTTTTTTTTATAATTTTTTTTTTTTTTTTTTTGTTTTGAAATTTTTTTTTTTTTCATTTTCATAACACAACATATAATATTTTTTTTTTTTTTTTTTTTGAAAAAATTTTTTTTTTATTATTAAAATTTTTTTTTTTTTTTACATTTATATACATATACGACGTTTCTTTTACTTTCTATTAATAAATATTACATCGTTTTAAAGTAATTTAATTAAATTGCTAATTCTTTACAATTGGAAGCGGTAATGATGTACACTGAGAAAGCATTATACTTATAATTTAAATAGAAGAATAATCTTAAGTGATTTCGTTTAATTGAAATTAGTTTGCAAGCTTAATCCTGATATTTAGAAAATATTTACTGCTTTGATTAAAAAATATTATTTGTTTGAATAATTATGTGTAATTGAAATATATTTTTTGTCTTGAATTCAACAAAAATTATGTTTAAAAATTTTATGTTTCATTTAAACTGAAAAGTTGATTATAAATAATTTAGAATTAACCATAAATTTTGTTTGAATTAAATATATTATTTCTATAAATGAACCAAAAAATATGTTTGAATAAAACTTAAATTTGTATGAATCAAATAAATTGTTTTCTCAGTGTGGGTAATGCATGCAGAAGTGTATTATGATACTTATATTTGTAAAATAGTAAAATCTCATTTGTGCATGCTTAGTAATATTAAATGATGTCTACTCGTGCCCAATATTAAAGGTTGACATTTTTTACAGAGATTGACCCTTTGTTGAATATAATTACGTGTAATAATTGTAATAATTATTACACGTATATAAAGTTTTCTTCGTTTATTACACACACGTAAATATACAATACATGTAAAGACACGATGAAAAATTTCTTTGTGTATTTACACGTGTAAAATGTATTTCACTTGTAAAATTTTTATTATAATTATAAAATTATTCTTACAAATGAAAAATTTTTAT